AAATTTTACTCCGCCGAAATGACGCCACATTAACGCCATTTTGATTCTACCGTTTGTTTTGAAGTGTTATTTTATGATCTGTGTTTATATTTTATGGACTGTCACGGTTCACTTTTCAGTGGGCGCTATCTAAAATAATATCTAGTTTTAAGGGCTCTGCCCGACTCTATAGTTGCTCAGGGGTGTGGGTTATAAAGGGATGTTCGTAGGCGCCACGTGATTTAAGTGGCCCTTAAAACGTAGAAAGAGAAAATCACGAAATAGATATAACTAAAGGTTTATTACTGATATATAATTTAAAATAACGCAATAAGTGATTATACTTGTGTTTAGGATAAATACCAAAAATAATACCGAAGTGATCACTTGGGTTTACAACCCTTTTGGTAGTTACGAACTACAAAAACAATCTATATATTCTGCAAGTAAAATACCACTCTGTAGCTGAAGGCTACCAGGGCAAAACAAAAAGTAAGTAAAACTGGTGCTTAAGGCAACCAGGGCAAGACAAAAATGAGGTGACACTACAAGTTAAGCTTGTAGGTGTAACAAGGTTAGCAACCCGAGGGTTGCAACATGATCTGGGTAAACCTGGTTATACGGTCAAGCTTAACCAAATCAGTTCGCAACACAACGAACAATACTGACCAATAAAAATAAAGAAAGTCAAAAATAAATTGGCCGTTGGTCTGGATCAAAACCAACCAGCAGCTGGTTATACGGGCAAAAGCTGGTCAGCCTTAACACAGAACAACAAACCTCACAAAAATAATCATATAACAAAATAACGTATACTCCGGTATAAATACCACACAATAAAGTAAAGAATAAAATGGAGATAAACTTATCCTGCTGCCAGGCGTTGTCACAATCGGGTAGTCGTCAATTCCGGGGAAAGTGTCTTAATCGGGTGATGGGTGAGATGGCAGACGTCGATCTCAGTCCTACCTCGGCCAACTCACAGTCGTCGAATCCAGGAGAAAAACTAGGCTTGTCCGGGTACCTTCGCGGTAGTGTATGCCCCGGAACAAGGGTCACAGTAGGGGTGGATATCGGGGAGATAATCCGTCGTGTCCAAGTTGTGTAAAAGTTACACGAATAGGGTTATGAAAACCCAAAAACAAAACCAAAACAAAAACAGAAAACAAAAACATAAACAAAACCCTAAAAGAGAAAAAGAAAGGTATGGAATAGGTCTACCAAAGAAATTATTCGTACTTACGCCTGGTTGAATAAATTATTGTACAACGATGTCAAGTTATAGCCGTGGGATTTTATTCAACGATGTTATGTGCGGTGTAGTGTGAAATGACGCTGGCTTGATCACTAAAATAGGCTTAGATAGAAAAACAGCCGTTAAATAGACAAGTGACGCTTACCTAGAGCATGTGCTTTTTAAATCCGGACGAATCCGCTAAATCCATAGACCCAAAATACAAAATCCAACACGATAATGGTCTAAATGGATCCAATACTGATTTTTCTGAAGACAAATCCCGCAAATAAGAACGGATGGTGGAAATAAAACCAAATCTTCAAAGCACCTGTTGCACACGCTCACAAGCCTAACGCCAAATGTCAAATGTCAAGGAAACCAAGCGTCACCTCAGCAGGAACGTTACATAACTTTAACGTTGGCAACACTGAATTTACAGTCTGCAACCCACAGATAAAATCTAGGTGTGCGATGAAAATAACGTTGGCAACACTGCTACTTGACAGATGTAATGTAAACAGAAAATGGCTATATCAAAACACGATTATAAAACATAGACAACCAAGGCAAATACAAATAATAACCCAACGAAGGTATTCCTAAAACCAAACTCAATCTCTTAGGAAACGACAAGAGTCCTGTTGAAACCAAGGTCCCTGCAAAAAGTAACTTAAAACAACGGTAAAAAAACATAAGACAAACAAGGTAAATTAAGTAGTAGAACTAGACAATAATAATAAATGTAATAAAAATTTTAGTAAGGACAGAAAAAGTCATAAGACTAACCAGGCATTACCGGCAAAATCAAAAGTAGGACAGAAAAATTATACTGTACGATACCACTTAAAATATATTATAAGTTAAGAAAATAAACCAAAATAGAGAAAATAAAAGTAGTACAGCAAGTAAAGTATGGAAATTAAAATAAATAATAAAGTGCCGATAAGTAAGTTTTAGTTTTATTAGCAAAACAGTAACAAATTCGTAAAAAAAACTAAGAGTGTTTTTGACACGTTACAGGACTTTTGTGTGATTTTATTTCTATTTGCTATTTTGTGTGATTTTCTACTGAAATCATTAAGGTAAGTTATTTTATTAAATTTTGTTACTTTGGTTACATGGTACCTATTTGTGAGTAACTTTTCTTCTACAATTAATCATATGAATATTGAATGTTATAACAGAATAGCAATAATCATATTAGTAAAAAGCAGCTTAAAAATTCAAAAGAGGGACAATATTACTCTCCCGACCATAAACTATTATTATCCAAAAAATATCATCATGTCCTATCGTTAAAAATCAGATTTTAATGATAGGACGCTACAGTTAGCGACCAAGGCTCAACAAATTCAGCAGCCATAAACTATTTAAATAGAAATTTTCAAGAAAGAGAAAACTTCTCAAGAGATCTAAAGTTTTTTGAAATAAATGGACAGCAAATTGTCCACATATTTGACCCCCCCCCCCATCTTCTTAAGGGGGTGAGGAACAATTTACTTTCCAAAGACTTAATATGGGAAAATAATGGAATCAAATATGTGGCGAAGTGGAACCACATTATTCAGGCCTATGAATATGAAAATGCGTCAGGAGACCTGAGATCAATGCCTAGGCTTACAGACTGCCATGTTTATTAAAAAAAAAATGAAGAAGATGAAAGTGTCATATGCGGCACAGATATTGAGTCACTCCGTCGCTTCTCTCATAACACTTATAACAAGAATTTTGATAAGAGGTATATTTTATGTTTCTAAAATATTTGTATTTATTTATTTGAATATTTACACAAATTTTTACAATTTGTTGTATAATAATTTGATTGTATAATTTTAGATGGCACAGAAGAACAGCCAAAAGTTGTTTTGGAAGAAAAGGCAACAGATACGGCCAAGATATTAAAATTCTTTGACACCCTATTTGATAGTGTAAATGGAAGTACAAGATATGAAGACAGAGGAAAGAATTTTAAATGTGCCGTAAGTGCCAAGTCTGGCCACATTGAATTTTGGCGTGATGCGAGAGAACAACTAAAAAATATGTATTTTATAAAACCAAATACAAACGAAAAGTTTGTTCCACCATCGTTAAAAAACTGGGTTTCAACCTTGGCGTCAATGGAGGAGCTACACAAAATTTTAATGAACCAAAATATCACATTTTATAAACCAAGGATGATAAACCAGGATCCGGTCGAAAATTTTTTTGGTCAACTTCGACAACATGCAGGTCGTAATACCAATCCTACCATCTATAATTTTAAAAACTATTACAAAACATTACTTATAAACAACTTTGTCACAAGGCATTCTGTCTCTGCCAATTGCGAAATAAGACTTTATACAAAGATTTTGATAAAAACTTTATTAAAAAACGTCAATTTTAATTTTGCACATTGCGAGCATGCGCAGGATGTAAGAAAAAATGCCATTAAACATTTTTCCCTTTTGTGTTGCCGAAATTGGGCTACTGGAATAAACAGGGTTTTGGCAGGAAAGGACTCTAGAAATAAAATTTATCATATGGTCTACACAGACAGGCACATGATTATTACATTAAAAAGTTAAAAAAAACTATGATTTATAAATAATATTCTTGTTTATATTTTATTTTAAAATGAATTTATATGTACAGTTTGCAATTTTTTATAATTTCATACCTAGTACATTTGTTTTCTTGTGTTGTAAAATTATTATATTCATAGTGATCATTAAAAAGTTAAAAAAAAACTATGATTTATAAATAATATTCTTGTTTATATTTTATTTTAAAATGAATTTATATGTACAGTTTGCAATTTTTTATAATTTCATACCTAGTACATTTGTTTTCTTGTGTTGTAAAATTATTATATTCATAGTGATTATTATATTATTATATTCATTGATATATTGTATTGATACAAATATTTAAATCGCTAATAAAATATATTTATATATATATACATATAAATATTGTAACGAAGTTACTTTAATTTTCCCCTATTTACCGCCGTCTGTACACCCTGTATGTAGATTTTCGTACAAGTGGATCTGCGACGTCATGGTTCCACCTCCACTCTATTCAAACAAGTGGGGAGCTGCGCCGTTTGGTTCCCTGATGTCGCCATAGCGCACCCGAGATGATATAAAAGGCCGAGCAGAGCAATTAAAACTCTCTTTTGTCTCCCGTGTTCCGGCTATTTTGTTCCCGACAGCCCGACCCCGTGAAACCAAAATATAGTAAGTAATGACGTCCCGCCAACAGTTCTAAAGTATTTTCCCGTGCCCGAGCCAACGTTCGCCCCGTACCGCTCGGTATCTGCTCTGCCGTAGACAGTACCCAGCAGGCGAAACGGCCGGTCCCCGCGAGCCCGTCCCGTGAGCCACGATATGCTGAAAACCCGTCGAAGACCCGTAGTATTTTCTTCCCGTAATATTTAATTTCTTTTACAGCATTGGTTTATTTAATTGCATTTCCGTATTAATATTTGCTCAAAGTGTAACCTTCAGTTTTTATATGCATTGTTCCCGTTTTTTATTCATTTATTTTTGGTGTTAATATTATTCTATTTAGTTAATGTAATTTTTATATTAATATATATTAAAGCGAGGACTGGGACATGGAGGCGACCCCGTGAACCCAACCCCGTGCAACACCAATCACCGTTGCTACACGAGGAGTAGGCATTATCTGTTCAGTTGAATACTCAAGAATGTCAACCACATGGGATTTCAACACCATCCACCAGATATGTACCATTTACCAGTTCTACCGAGTCACCCTTGTTATGCTTCAGTATAAGATGTATCTTGCACAACAGCTCCAATATGAAGCAAAGTCCTTCACTATTGGGCAAGATATCGTACTGAACGAAGAAATGCGACAAGTTATAACTACCGTCAGACAACTGCCCAGTGCAACAGCAGCACTATTATCATCCGTTGGTAAGGTAGAGGCAGACGGACGTATTTGGCATTCTGTGTTTCCGGAGCTACCGAATGACCCCGAGCAGCAGCGCATTTTCCGCACCCTCTGCCCCTGACCCCCGAGCGTCCTGTTACTCCGAGGGAGTGTGTGACGATCCACCGCATAGGCTGTTCGATTGCCCGCTGCATAACGAGACCAGAATGGTAGCAGAGACCGTGTTGGCGATTGGCGTAACAAGACCTAATTTCCTAAGGCTGCTCCCCCGTGTCGAGGATACTCTCGATTTGCTAGTCCGATGAGATACCAGAGTCCCCCTTTATGTTTGTATATGTCCCATATACAAAACGTAGATTAGGTTAATTTAAGTGAGTGTTTAGTTTTAGTTAGTACTTCTGCACACCCGAAGATGGAGAAACCGCAAGGTATGTGCCATCTTCCATCTGCAACTTGTTGCAGAAATGCTAGTATTTGTCCGTTTGTCCGAAAATACAATACTTATGTGCAATAACGTTTTATACCATTTTGAATATTCATGAGAGGACTGCTCCTTAAGAGCAGGGGTGGAGGAATTTTAATTTCGGGCCTCTCAATTTCTGTTACTCCGAGGGTAGCCAGGAGTACCTCGGCTGTACGAGGTCGACGGTCTTCTGCGGGTTCCCAGGGCTCCGAAAGCTCCCGCCGGCCCGACATGGAGAATACCTCCCAGGACGCCCGCCCCGTAGCTCCGGTTCCGTCGGTCGGCCCAGCCGCCGCTCAGGGATCCCGACCCCGGCCCGTCACCCGAGTCACCTCCCCATATCAGGAGGAAACCACGGTGGGGCGACATAATCTTCCGGTGTCCCTATTTGTGGCATTCGAGGGGTATGCCGCGGGGATTAGGACGGAGGGTGCAAACACCTACCTGCCCATCAACCTCGCCTCCAAGTTATGTTGGAGGTGCGGGCATCCCGGACACTCCCGGACTGCGTGTCCGGTGGGGAACATCAGTTGATGTTCCATCCTTTTTATCCACAAACACATAAAATAATCAAGCCAATTGTTGTTATGATATAATTAATTGCGTTTACAAATTTTTATCAAAATGGTTAAAATTATTTTCTTTTTCAATATTTGGTTTTCGGTAAAAGTTCAATACCTGCGTATTTTTACCTAATCATAAAATGTGGCTTGGTTCTTTTTTTATGCACAATTGCATCGTTTATTGTTGAAAAAAGTCGGGTGACATTTTCGTGATAAGCAAAAATGTGTAAACTACAATGTCAAGCAATAAATACCATAGAAATGGTATTATTTCTATGGTGTAAACACATTTTTGTTTTGCACGAAAATGTCACTTTACTTGTTTTTAACAATAAACGTTTCTATTGACGCGCAATTTAATTTAAAGAATCCTGCAATTAGTGGTTAAGTTTTGCACTTCTTGCGAGATGGCGCGCTCGACCTTTTCCTAAACATTTACATTGCAGTTTCCTATCTATAACCTTTATAATCTGTGTGTTCATGTACGAGGTGCACCTAAAATAAAGGCTAAAAAACGAAACAATCGAAGGGCAAAAATCGAGACAGTGTTGGGGAAAAAAGAAGACAGCGCGGAGTGAAGATGCCGAAGGTTTATGTTAAGAAAGTACGAACGTATACTGAAGAGGATATAAAGAGAGCTTTAGAGTTGATTGAAAAAGGCACTTTAAAATTCCGAGCGGCTAGTATTTTAATTTTAACGAACTATCCACAGTTTTGAAAGTAATAAACACCGAAATTATTGACTCAAAACCTACTTATTTCGAAAAATCAACTGTTACTGCTATTTGTAAAAGTCCCTTTTTAAATAATATAATAAAAATGCCTAACAACACGGCACCACCTGTTTACTTAAAGCCTATGCTGCAGAGAAATTCGCTCTTACCATTCCCAAGTACTCCGGTAACCCTGATACATTAGAATTCTTTATTAAAACAGGTGACAATTTTTACCTAACTTTCGGACAAACAGAAGACAATAGGCTCAGTAAATACGTCTTTATGATGATATTTTCTAAATTAGAACAAGAAGCCGCTAATTATATCATGTGTAGGCCTGACGTAGAAACCTGGCCCCAAGTAAAAGAGTTGCTTAGAATAAAATTTGGTGACCACCTTGATCCATTGACACTAATGCATGACTTTAACATAATGACAATACACAGAAATGAGAATGCTCTTGATTTAATTAATAGAATTAATCAAATTAAATCCTCTCTACAAATTAAAATCAATTCTGACCCTATCTTATCTATTGAACAAAAACAGTTATATATCGAACAATCCGAACAAACTGCACTAAAAAATTTACTAGGTAACGTTGACGAAAAATAACATATGATTTTAAGAATTATTATGTAGATATAAAAACAAATATGTTTTGAAAGTTTCACGTGAAACTTTCAAAACATATTTGTTTTTATATCTACATAATAATAATAATATGGAGTTTCATCAAGTAAAGGTCGAAACAATCAAATATTGATTTTAAGAACGAAAAAACCAGCAAATCTCGAAAATGCGACTGCAATTGTTCTACGAAACAATCACTTATATCAGAGACTCGCTGGCCAAGCCAACCAATTAACATTGACCCCCGGCCAGTAAAGTTAAACTTCCCAACAAATCAACAAGTTTTTGGTAAACCTACTCAAAAGTTTTGGGCTCCAAAAAATTCGCATAAACCACGTTATACACCCACGCCCATGTCAACACAAACTCGACTTACACAACGACCCAATGTACCACAAAACACACATCAAACTCAAGGTAATAGACCTTTTAATACTTCAAATTATTTTAATCAACCACGTAACTTTCACTCCGAAGAACTATTTAACAACGAATACAGTAATTTCTTGACCAACGAACCACAAGAAGATCAATATGACAATGATTACGACTACTCAGACGATATACAAGATGACTATTACGACGATCATTGCGAAAACCAACACACAGATAACTACAATAACTATTCAGGAGACGGAAATAACTCTTGCGAAAACAATTCAAATTTTCATCAGGTTACGAAAAACGACCAACAAACTTAATTGAAATCAATTCCTCCGACATAAACGCCCTGCCATATATTGTTATAAAAAATATAATATAAAACTTTTAATTGATACAGGATGCTCCACTTCTATTTTAAGACCATACGTCGCAGAAAAATATTTCCCTAATTCCATATTTCATAACCCCTCTTTAATCACCACTTCTCTTGGTTCTAAAGAAATCCTAAATAGATGCAAAATACCAGTTTTCTCTGAATTTAAAAGTAACAATTATAATATCGAATTTCTCTTATTTAATTTCTTCGATGGTATAATAGGTTTACAAAGCTTGATCGATATGAAATATGTTACCGATATACCAAACAAATGTCTTACAAATACAAATCACAATCGAAATACCACCTTTCGAAACGCTTTTGAGAAAATTCCTTGTAAACATCCAAGACGGAGAAATTATAATACCAGAAACTAAACTGAACGAACTTTTCATTCCAGAAACAGTAACTATAGCAAAAAACCATTTAGCCCAATTTGAAATTTACAATAATACCCCCAAAACCCAAATCGCGACATTTATCGATGCCTTTCAGGTAACGCCTTTTCAAGAGAACAATTTCGAAATATCTAATTTTCAAGCAAGCACTCAACCCCGCGAACAATTTAACACACTTGAAAACCCCATACATCTCATTCGAACAGAACATATGAACAATGAAGAAAAACAAACAATTACTCAAGTCATTAATGAATACCAAGACCTCCTATACAGAGAAAAATCACCTCTTACATACACGAACAAAATTAAACACGTCATACAGACCACCGACGAAATACCAATACATACAAAATCTTACAGATATCCTCACATACACAAACAAGAAATACAACTACAAATCGACAAAATGCTAACCGACGGTATAATTCGACCCTCTTCTTCCCCTTGGTCATCCCCTATTTGGATAGTACCCAAAAAGATAGATGCATCCGGCAAAAAGAAATGGCGAATAGTCATCGACTATAGAAAATTGAATTCCACAACAATCGACGATAGGTACCCTTTACCAAACATAACAGACATCTTAGACAAATTAGGTAAATCCATTTACTACTCGACCCTTGATCTTGCTTCTGGGTTTCACCAAATCGAAGTAGACCAAGAATCCATAAAAAAAAACTGCGTTTAATGTAGAAAATGGCCACTTCGAATTTGTTAGGATGACATTTGGATTGAAAAACGCTCCCTCCACGTTCCAAAAAACAATGGACTTTATACTCAAAGATTTACTTAATACTTGCTGCTTAGTCTACATGGACGACATAATCATATTTTCTAAATCACTACAAGAAGATAAAGAACACCTTATACAAGTTTTTCACAGATTACGCGACGCTAACCTAAAAATACAACTCGACAAATCAGAATTCTTTAAAAAAGGGACACATTATCACACCTAATTGTATAAAACCAAACCCAAAGAAAATCGAAGCAATAAAAAAATTCCCTATTCCTAAAACCCAAAAAGATATTAAATCATTTTTAGGATTGATAGGATATTATCGCAGATTTATAAAAAACTTCGCCCATATTACCAAACCTTTGACTAAATGCTTAAAAAAGGACCATGCGTCACGCATACCCAAGAATTTATAAACTGTTTTGAGAAATGCAAAAATATATTAATGAATCCACCAATCCTACAATTACCCAGATTTCGAAAAACCATTCATCGTAGCTACAGATGCTTCAAATGTAGTCGTAGGCGCAGTACTTTCACAAGGCCCCATAGGTCAAGATTTACCGATTGCTTTTGCTTTAAAAACACTTAACACGGCAGAACAAAATTACTCAACAATAGAAAAAGAAATGTTAGCAGTCGTATTTGCTACTAAACAATTCAGACCATATCCATACGGTAGAAAATTTCAAGTCTATTCCGATCACAAACCACTACTATGGCCTTTTAATCTCAAAGAACCCAATTCACGTTTAGTCCGTTGGAGACTACGAATAGAAGAGTTTGATTACGAAGTAATTTACAAAAAGGGTTGCCAAAACTCTAATGCTGATGCCTTATCACGCATATAAATACACACTCACACAATACAAAATGACCAAGAACCCGACAATTGCTCTATAATCGCAAATGACGGCGACAATATAGATGATTTAGACGAATTAGATAATACTTTAGAGTTTATACAAACACCTAAAACAAAAAAAATCCTTTCAGATATAACTGAATAAAACCTCCGAATCCCCCAAGTGAAAACGGCACTGTCCATTCTTCACATGAAAATCCAATATTCACAATACCCATATCAGAAAAGAGCCTAAACACATTTAAAAATCAAATCGTCTTTAACGGATCAGTCCAAACCATGCAAATAAGTACGAATGTACCGAAAATATTCCAAAACACTAGAATTACAGTCACTATACCCACTAACAATTTTAAACATACTTTAAAAGAATTTATTAAAGCATTCTTAAAACCCAAAACCACCTATGGTATATATTTCAAAAACCAACAAAGCATACCTTTAATTATTAGAACTTTACAAGATACTTTAAAAACCATAGTTCTTTTTTTTTTTCTTTTAGTTCCACCCTTACTTCTTAAGAAGCCCCATAAGCCAACTGAATGGCTTGTGCGGGTTAGGGGTAGGAACGGACCGCGGGCTTAAAGTCCCCTCCGAAGGACTATCACACAATAGGACAAACACAAATAAACAGCCATACCCCTGGTGGGATTCGAACCCACGACCTCCGGCTTGTAGTCAGCAGCACTAACCACTAGTCCACCGTCGGCGATATAGAATAGACGCTAATATCAAATCTTTATAAAATTCATACTATTGGCCAAACTTGCATTCCGATGTACAAATTTTCATTAACACCTGCGAACCCTGCCAAATGTCAAAATATGAAAGACATCCTAATAAAATCCAGTTCTCTAAGGCACAGAAACATTCGAACACTTATACTTAGATACCTTTAAAATCGAAAAACAAAATTTTCTAGTAATGATAGTTAGCTTTTCCAGATATGCACAAATGTACCCGACTACACAAAACGCTATTGATATTTTTGATAATCTCATTACTTATATCTCTCATTTCTGACTTCCAAAAAAGATAACTGTCGATAATGGCACTGAATTCAAAAATAAATTAATTATAGAAGCCCAGTCGAAAGACTTCATTCCACACTCACCGAACAAGTAAGAACGGTTAGAATTGAAAACAAAAACACTCCAATATATCAATTATTAAAATTAGTTTTACTCGGCTATAATAACACTGTACATTCCGCTACGAAGCATACTCCATACGAAATCGTTTTTGAAAAGACCCATTCGACTTTTCCTTTGAAAATAAAGTGTTTCGTATTGTAGAAGGATTTAAAGAAGACGCTTTTTACTATAGAAGTGATTTGGAGGTGGAATATAACGAAATTTTAGACGACTGATTTTGCAGCTTGGAACCAAGTACACGAAAAGAGTAGAGCCTGAGAAAATGTCTACTACAATCTTAGTGACATTTGCGATGTGTCTCCATACTTAGATTTGTGATTTATGTATTGTTTATTCGAATTTTTTCTGCTATTCCATATTACGAATTAGAGAAGGATTTTCACGGACCTTGCAGATACGAGGTTGCGTATGACCCATTACCTGTCCAATAGCGAAGACGATTCAGATTCCTATTACAAGGACCACACAAGATTTTTTATGCAAAGACTTGAAAGAGAACTTCATCTTCCAACTGTTCGAACTGCATTGGACGGAGGAGACAACAATCCTGTTGCTTCATGTACTACGCCAACTTATCAACTTGGAACTTTGGATCACATTCTCTACAGTGACAAAGAAGATTATAAAAATGATAAAGACTCGATTCAACGATTGCGTTCGATCGATTTACGGAACTGTTAATCCTTCACTAAGTTATATACTATGAAAATTCCCGAGAGAGCTTTAACCATGCTCGAAGAAGTCTTGCAATCAGATGCATGGCGAACTTCGAGCTCTGGTTTTGGCACCAAGATCACCTCCACGCCGTCCATGACTGCACATACTGTGACAGCAAGTGTCGCTGTGCCCGGTACGAGTTCATCAGAGGATCCAGAAAGAGCGTTAGGAAATCTGCTTGGACTCACATATTGTCCGTCGCTTACGGAACAATCTGCTCTACTATAGTCAGAAAGGTAAATAATATTTTTCATTTAAACAAATAATATCGATCAGATTTCAGGACAGAGAATGGCTATCTACGTTAAAGGCGGACGTACCGTGTGGATACGAGACTATCAAGTTGGAGAGGTCTACCCGAGTCAGGAAATTTTAGACTTGCCCAAGGACAAGTGGGGAATTTGGGCTAAGACGAGGAGTTTATTCACGATAGCTTCGCCTGTGGATCCGATAAGAACACAAATCCAGCAAGTTTTTACAAGCAGGCAAAAGACTACAAGCGGCCGACGGAAGTGGACAGGAGGCGTTGTTGGAGTGGTTTATTGGAATATGAGCTTATATAAAAATAAGAAAACTATTGAAATATTTGGGAAAAAATTTGTTGACATGACAATAAGGGAAATATTTAATTATAGTTTAAACTGTAGACCCTTATGGCATGCCAATAAAACCAATGTTGCGGAGTACTATTATGACGAAGCAACAAGTGTTATTATCCTTATTGAATTATTAAAATTTTAATTCAATCAGGATGATAATGCCATACAACAATTTCTAGTAGATTTATATATAGTGGTTGTACTTTTTTAATTATGGGCATATCCACAACTTAAATAAATATGATGCATTCCTGTTAATGGAATGTGAAAATTTCCGAATTTTACATTGGAACGGACCGATTTGTGAACCTGCAGCATTCGAAACGCTAAAGATGTTATTTGGTGGAGATCCTTGCAGTGTAAAAGTAAAATATGGAGTAGATCGAGTAGTGAGCAGAACTCCAGTCATAATTACGTCTAATGGAGATCCATTCCCGAAGGATGTTGCATTTAGGACAAGGATTAT